TAGCCGTGTGAAGGTGAAATGCAGCCATGGGTCTTGTTGTGACCTGGCAAATGTGTCATAGGGGCTGCACATCGAGCAGACATTCCAGTATGCCGGTGTGAAGTTCCCTGCACACGCGTTTAGAGATGCTGCCACCACTCTTCGTGCTCCTCAAATGAGAACAGGTGAAGGTGAGCCATGTGTCGGTGATGGGAAAATATTGTAATTTTGCCAATGTGACAACAAAATGTGTATTTCCCAAATACTTGAATCAAGGCCACATTTATTAATTGCCAAATTATAGTGAATTGAAACGTTAGCGACTTATAGAGGGTGATCCGATTTTGAGATACACCACAACAATAATGGGGGGGGGAATTATACAGAAAATAATGTTATTTCAAACCAATCTCAACAACGGGTATTACATATGTTCACTTTCCCGACACACCTTGTGTGTGACTTGCTGTGATGCGAACCTCCCTCACCACCCGACAAGACAGAACATTCAGCCGGGTCATGTCAGGCGAACTCGAGTGGGATTGGGGGGGGGGTGGAAGGGGGCCACGGCGATATCGTTCCACCTCGACCCATTAAAAAAAAACACGCGCGCACACACAAACGTCTCTTGTGACCGGTCACACACTGCACGAGGGGGGGGTATATCAGAAATCAGTGGGGTGTCTATAAATGGATCGCTCTGTACCCACGCAAAGTCCGTCCGTCTCCTCCGCTGTACTCGAATTACAGACGCGCCAGCACAATTGTGTGAAAGCCACGCTCGGCGCGTCTCCCGGACGTATTGGAGCCACACCTGCGGGTGTCCTCTTAACTTTCGCGTCCCGCGGGGCGGTGCTGTACACCACCACCATCACATCGCTAAGACCGCATCCTCCGCTTAAGCTAAACACTTGCCCGCTGCTCCTCTAATCTGTTTATACCGCTCCCTCCCCCACAGCAAACCGTGTTTGCATGGCCGGTTGCTGCAAAAGCACTTCTTTTTCTGTGCCCCGGGTTACGTTTCATCGCTTGGCCTGCGCCCCCGCGAACGCAGGCAGGCGCACGGATGAGACCCTTTCCCTGAGCCCCACAGCTGTTGGCCATGGACAGACACGGGGGGGAGTGGGGGGGTAGAGGACAGAGCCCGGGATGGGGGGGGGGTAGCTACGTGGTGGAGGGGGGGGGGTGAACAAGTTCGCCGCAACGCTTTTTCCACGCAACGGAGCCGCCACGGTCTGCCGACGCGCTATCCCTCCCAAGACAAAAGATCCCCCCCCCCCCGTATAGCCTTAACAGACTTTTGGGGCAAGTGCTGTTGGCGGGCACCTACGAAAGCGGGCACACGGCACACGTGCACGTGGCGTGACCAGCACCATGCGGCCCGGCCACCGTTACGTCTGCCCAGTGCTGATGCTCACGCAACTCAACAGGTACACATTAAAGGCCGAGTCGACCTCGGAGAGGCCCGGGACCGGTTCACATATTCAGCACTGTTATTTGGTCGCGAGCGGGGCTCGAACCCAGATCGCCAGGTTCGTGGCGGAGTGCAGCGCTAACCCACTACACCAGCGCTGCCCGACTATCCCCCCCCCCCCACGCACACGTCAAGGGAGTATCCACCAAGCTCCGAGGAGGGAGTTGGTGACTAGCGTGAGCTCTCCTAGGAAGATAACTTTCCGAAACATGAAACTTATTTACTGCCGTGTAAAAAGAAGGATCCTGCGCAGGATCAGCCCAAAAGCACGGCACAAGGATTGTATTGCAATACACATCTTGTGAGTTAGAGCTTTCGTAAGCGACGTTCCGAAACGTATCCGCGATGTACTTTCGGCTTGTTGTTTGGCATGATGTCCGACGTTTCGCGTCACGTGCTAGGAGCCTTTTCAGATAACCGAAACGTCGTACGTGGTGCCGAACAGCACACTGTTACGACACGAAAACACATCGGAGAGCCGTGTCGCACAGCCTACGCAGTAGTAGTATTATTACCCAACATCTATGACCCAATTTGCTGTCTTTGGTAAATAACTTGCTTATGTTTTCTGGCATTTCACGTGAACCCGCACGTGTTTCTTTAACAGCGCCGTGTTTACATTTTTCTAGATGGCTATCTAACACCAAAAAACGAAACGTGAAGCCTCTAATGTTGAGGGAGCATTTTCTTGTATGTATACCCCCCCCCCCCCCCTCTGGTATTCCGGTCAGAAGCCAAAATAGCGGATTGTAAACATATCCCGGGTTCTGGCAGCAGTTTTATGAGTAGAAAATGGGGCCTTACGTAAGGCCAGAGGCCTAAGTACCTAAAAAAGGACAGAAAAAAACAAATACATAGCAGTAAACTGGGCTTGCATGGCACGTGTGGAATGCGCAGTGCAGTGCCGTCAAGAATCCCTCCCCCAGTAGAGGACCCTGACAATGGACTCAGGAATGCATCAGCACGACCCAAAAGCTGGCTTGGATATTTGGCGTATATGGCACGTGGAATGGATAAGCATGTGGAATCCGCGCGGCAGAGTAAAACAAGCGAAAACTGAATGCAGCAGCAAAAAAGGGTGATGCTCGCCCACTGAGAAATGGGTCCGCTGTTTTGACCATGAATGCGGTGCATTGTACGCACTTAACCTCGCCTTTTTCACTATGATTCATTTAAAAAATGTAGAATTGAAAAAAAAATTCCCAAACCTTTATCCGACAATGATCGTATTCTTTTTCGTCAGGCCTCGCGTAATCCAAAAACATTGTGGTTTTGTTTTATGTTTTTGAACAGAAACCAGCTGATAGCCAAGGCCACTATACATGATATTCGTTACACTGTCACAACTAACAGCGACAGCAGTCCGCTGTATCTTCGCCTCCTAGCAATGTTGCTCAAAATCCTGCTAGGATGAGCTCAGTTGGCTTTGTTGTAATAAACTGTACAGTATACGATGGGGACCTTTAAATTGTTAGCTGTCGTATAACTTTTGACTGCTTGCACAAGCAGCTTGTTCTTCACCGCCAACATCATGTTACTTTTATCATACACGAAGTGCAGACGATGTCCCAAGGAAGTCGGCAGCAGCTTTCTGTTTCGCATTTACAATATAGTACATTGGGTAAAGCAATGAAAATAGGGACGGAGTGGTGGTAAAGTGGTTAACACGGAACGCTGTGAACCCGGTGACCCGAGTTCGATGCAAGGCCACGGCTACCGTTGGTGGCAAGTGATCTCAGAACCGGGATTGCCATCCACCCACTTCCCCAACCCACACTTGCCAACGTGGTGAAGTAAAGAATAAGGGGGGGGGGGGGGGGGGGGGGGGAGGAACCTAACTGGGAAAGAGGCATTTCTAAATGAGAAATCTCCTAAATGAGAATGTGCTCAAGGAACACAAGCTTATTCAGCGGTTGACAGGACAATCCAGGTATTTCACGTTCATAACCACGCCGCTTTGCGAAATGGAAAAACATCCCCCCACTTGTTATTGTTCGGCCATGGAAGGAGCATTTTTTAAACGTGGAAGAAGGTGTTAAGCCGATTTTAAGCCGGCTCAATGTACATTCTGACGGCCTGCAAGAGCGTGTTAGAAGTCACGACTGAACGTCACGCAATATGGGTAGGGCTTGCGCCAACTAGAAAATGAACCCAGGAACAAAACAGTTGCCCTGCCTGTGAATTAGCGGCACTCGGCGAAAAAGAGCTATCCCAAATACAAATAAGCACAATAACAAACCCGTTTATGGCGGTGGAGCAAATCTTGGGAAGGTTTTCTGCAATAATTTTTCTGCTTGCCACTGGAAATGTTCCTCCCAACACTTTACACTGTCTGACGAAGAATATGCTGGTTACAACTGCTTGACAGTTAAAAAGAGCTTGCCAGATACTTGCTGTGGAGCTTTGTCATGCCGAGACCTATTAACTTCAATGTTAAACAGAAAAAAGGATGTCTGCAAACAACTATTTATTTCCGGCCGTGTTTAAAACACTGCTGGATGAAAGCCTCCCAAAATGGTGAGAGCACCACCTTAACGCTGCCCTGTTAGCAAAATAACTAAATAAAGAATCTCCCCAGCACTGTGCAACCTGCCACAGATATAAAACCAGGAAAGATAGACCAAAAAGCTGCATCTCACTAATCAGCCAAGTCACAAAAACAACTTGGCTGACTGTGAATAGGAAAGACAGTAACATGTATACACAAACCGCTCTCAGGCAGGGAATACAAACAAAAGCTGCTGTCCATGTAAACAGGGGATGAAGCAGCTTGATGGGAGATGTATAACGTGAAAAAACTGAGGCTTTCATGTAAACTGTGCATTAAGTATGTCTTAAATGCAATGTACAATTCCCCAGTACTGTATAAAGATGCTCAATTACAAAAAGAGACATATTACTGCGGCTTGGTTTCATCTGGGTCTCTCTGGGTCAGGTGACCCAGAAAATGTTTCCATGCCCGGCAGACCACATCCAGCACAATAACAATACCTCTCACTTTGGTCGTGGCTACTCGTCACACACGTGTCTATTCCCATTTTACCAGTGACCCAGAAAAAAGATTTCACGCGAAATGACGCCCTGCTTATTACAGTGTATACAAGCTTCTTGTTGCTAAAGTCCACCAGCCACTGCACAGTGACGCTCGATACTTGTGTGCGTTAAGGTCACGATGTTAACAAACTCATTCTAAGTTGTTGCAGAGCATTACGTGTCAAGTAACTTTCTGTAAAGCAACGTCATATTTGAAGCGACTTTGGGTAATACATTATTTAATTCAGCTCAACCTTCCTCTGCGTTAGTGTAAAAAGCCACCTACTCATTAATATGAATGAGGCGGGTGGGCCTCATGTGGAATGACGTCACGCTGGGTGATAACAGTAGGTAACGGTGTATTATAATGCATCTGACCAAAAAAAACTCGAACTTTTAACATCGCAGGGAAGACTTAACAAGATTTCCCTGGACAGCAGCCACCTCATAACAGGATGAGAATCCTGGGTAAAAGCAGCGGATCGCGAAGGGCATTCGATTTCGCATTGCTTACGGCTGCAGCGCGGGGACCTTGCTGCTCCGGGGCGCTTGTTCCTCGTCGGAGGCGTCCGACGACTCGTGCCAGAGCTCCTCACTGTACTTGCGCTTGAGACCGGTGGGCGGGAGGGCAGCCCTGGGGTCCTGCAGCAGTGGCGGCAGCCGCATGGCCTGCCGGAGGTCACCGTTGCTCAGGGTTTCGCCTGCGCGAGATAATGCGTCACAGCGCTGCAGTTGCCATCACAAACGTTTGATTGTAATTATGTTTTTAATCATAATAATAATCGCAAACACCCGGTCGAGTCCGCCTTCGAGTTGGCAGGCCTTCCCGGAGGTTCGCGGAACATGCTTGCCAACCCAAGCGATTTAAGCGGTAGGCTGACATTCTTTGAACCCTTTTACCACATACCGATTTTCGAAGCTAATCGCACAGCTTTATAACGATAAAATCTCGAGAAAAAAATGCAATTATTGCTTTGAAAATCGGTATGTGGTAAAAGGGTTTAGAAATCAGCAGCCTACCCATTAAATGAGTAGGGTAAAAAAGTTATTACTGCAACTTGATAAAGATACAATAGAATCCAACTTAAAGCAAGTGAAAACAAATGTAAGTTACCAGCAAATGATAATAATGTCCTCTCACTTAGTAAATCGTCAGTGAGTCTCAAGACTCTTCTTCAAGAAGGGTTCTGCCCTGGGATGTTTAATTAATTTTCATTTATGAGCATTGGCATGTGGGAGGGAACTGGAGTACGCACGATAACATTCACACAGACAAGAGGGTAACACTCAGCACAGATGGACTTAAAGGTCCTACTTGCTGCACTGCCATTTTATGACCACCTGACCGCTCAGAGGGGGTTCGTTAGTTTCCGTGAAATCCACCAAATTTCGGCTCGAAAAATTGCAAAATGCTGCATTGCAGACGTGTTAATGCCGCTGCGTTTTTGCAAAGTGTAGGTTCTGTCGAGATCGGCTTTATTTTAAACAAATCTTTTGAGAACATTACTCAAAGAAATGCCACACCTCATAACTGTCCTCAGGGAAATAGGGCACGATCTGTTTGAAGTAATGATGCCTCACCCATTTATCCAGCACCAGCAGAAGGGAAAAAAACACCCTTGGGCAGAAAATAAATTACCCACGCTCAAGCAGTCTTAACTGCGGCTCTAAACCCAAAAACAATTAAAACCTCAACATTATACTTAATTCCTTTTGGTTTACTATTGTTTAAGAGTGCAGTACTTGACATAAACCTCAATATATTCCATCCATATACAGTGTAACGGTAATAATTCACATCCCTTTCCCATATCAGCCATGGGGATTGTGTGATTATACATTAACAATGCTGGTTTGTGATTGATGTAAGGGGTGAACCAATACGGATTCAGAAATAACGGATGTTAGCCGTCGCTTGGGAATTCCAAACTAAGGTTTGGGTTCACAATTCTGTAAGTTAATCAGTGCTCCTCTGCACCATCCCTAATATTAATCGTTTTATACATATTCTTGCTTCTTTCGGTAATGTCACGTAGAAGGGAAATAATAAAATAATACAAATAAAACAATTACATTTTCACGACGTTTCGATTGCAACACAAGCAATCATCATCAGGTGTGAAAACCACAGCAAGAAAATTTGAAAAAAGTGGCGGTTTTTCGAGCCGAAATTTGGTGGATTTCATGGAAACTAACGAACCCCCTCTGAGCGGTCAGGTGGTCATAAAATGGCAGTGCAGCAAGTAGGACCTTTAAGTCCATCTGTGCTGAGTGTTACCCCCTTGTCTGTGTGAATGTTATCGTGCGTACTCCAGTTCCCTCCCACATGCCAATGCTCATAAATGAAAATTGATTAAACATCCCAGGGCAGAACCCTTCTTGAAGAAGAGTCTTGAGGCTCACTGACGATTTCCTAAGTGAGAGGGCATTATTATCATTTGCTGGTAACTTACATTTTTTAAAACTTGCTTTAAAAAATCATATTTTAAACATTAGATTTTCAGACACATATACTGCATAATAAAATATACAAGACGTTTAAGAACGTACATACTGCTTTGGAATGTACACACAGTACTGCACTGTATATGACAGTCGGGAAGTATGTAGCTTTGGCAGAGAAGCGTATTATACAATACAAAATCAACCTTGACCCAGATTCAAATATTTCTGAAAAGCTATGGTCTGTAAAATGTCACAAATAGTAAATAAACTCAAACCACATTTCGTTAGTTTGTGTAATTGCGCAATTTGCTTTATTTGGCCCATTTTTGTACAGAGGGCGACCGAACTGTTAGTTTGTTTCCACCTTATATTCAAGGGCTGATACTTGCTCCTGATCGTTTAGGGGATGTCATGGTGGCAGAGAAACAATGTTCACACCAATGGTCTGGGCAAAATGCTAATGGATCACTGGCCCCACCAAGGAGAGTATGAAGACAATTTGGGAGTTTATGCCAGGGCAAATTGTTGGCAAGATCATGGTAAAATTGCGTGCTATGACGTTCTGCCAAAATTTGAGAATGGAGCCCCGTATCTGCAGAGATCATGTATTTTTAAATAGTGTACAGCATAGAATGTAATACACTGTTTACCAATGTGATTATCCTATTGACAACAATGATGGCTTCCATAGGAATGTGGAATGATCATCACCGACTCAGAAATGGCAGTGGAGATGAGCCACACCTTATGCTTTGGCTAACGTTTTGTTTTTGTTTATGCTGGGTGGGTTACTAGGTAAAGCATCTGGAAATGTTTTTTTTTATATTTAGGGCCTATATAAATTTAAATTATTAGTACCATTATTGCAGTACTCGTGCTTTCAGTTATTAGTCGGTGGATTCCACAAAACATTGGCAAAGTAACATTTGTTAAATTAAATAAACAAAAATACAGCCGGAATCAATCCACCAATGGATGAAAGCCTTCGCAACACTAGGTCAGTCATGGGTTGTTATTTTTTAATCATACTTCACCACACTGGTCAGTACAGGGTGGTGACGAGGACGGAAGATAGGAACGGTTAAAATATCCCTCGCTTCTGATGTTCACCATGGCCAGGAATCGAATTTGGGTTGCCGAGTTCATAGCAGCGTGTTTATCACTGAACTCCGATTCATACCCAGTGGTACGAGTGCTCTTATTTCCCAGCAAGCAATAAACGGAGAGAACTATTTCAATAGTTCCACAGAGCACAAGGAAGCGCCGGGGCGTTTTGGAAGCGGGGAGACGTACGTGCCTCTAGTCACGCACGGCGCAAGCATTTCTCGTGTTTCCTCAGCAGTTCCCGGCCGGCACCATAAATTCTGGCAGAAACACCACGGCAGGGCAGTGTTTGGACATAACGGGGCTTTGCGATGGGGGGGGGGGGGGGGGGCTTTTTTGTTCCCTGCCTTTGAAGCCAAAAAAGAAATGGTCGTACTCTGCACCACACTTTTATTTTCCACCATCGTAAAAGCATAATACTCGGTCTACATTTCATTCACTGTCATATGTATTGTAGATACAACTACGTGACTGTACCGAATAAAACCAAAGAGTATATAACTACGTGTACATTTCTTTACGTTGAGCTTGTATGTTCATATACATACCGTTACCATACAGAGAACCGATTAAGGCAGATTTTTCATGCAGATTCCTTGGGCTCTGGATCGCAGGGTGTTGCTAATGGTTGTGCATATATTTTGAACGTAACGAAAAGACCGCGTACACAAAACGAGCTGGTGCTCATAGCGAAAATAAATATCTCAAGCACGCTGACATGCACGATCGGCCAAATACCGTGAGACACCAAAAACCACATCAGCAAAACGATGCTCAAATGCCCACCCCTGGCCATTTGGCATTGTCCTGTCCGTATATAACTCTACCATTATTAGTAGATTTCAACTTTGTCAAGAGAGAGTGGGGGGGGGGGCGTGATGGGAATCTTTACCATACCAGACGGCACCACGGACAGTTTTGGACGGACGGTTGTAGAATGAGAGAATGCCGTTGCGTTGAGCCGAGGCTCGGGGCTTTGTTTATAGCCGCCAGCGTTGGGGATACCGCACGGGCGTACAGTTCACGGAGAGCTTGGCGGCCACTGCTCTCTTTAGCAGCCACAGACGCGACGAAACAGGCCGGTCCCCGTGCCAAGCGCATGAGCTCACTGCCTCCCCGATTTATCATGCCCGGGAATCCGCGGCTCTGTTTTCACATTCGGATCGCTCTCAATACGACCCCATTCAAAACTTCACAACAAGCGAAGGGAGCACTGGGTACCCGGGCCGTCGCACACTGTGGCCCAACTGCTTACAGCTCAGCACACATGAATAGGGGCTTTGCGGAGAGTGTTTGGATGCTGGCAATTTAGGTCCTCTCTATGGGACCCTTTTTGGCAGTGCCAAAATGATGAAAAAAAGTATTGGCTTTAACCCTTCGGCAATAATACACGTGTCAAGATGTTCAAACACCAAATAGACACCTACAGCAAGGCATCAAGTCTGCATTAACCGCACATGCTTGTGGTAAAACATGTTGGGAAGGGTAAAAACAATTATTTTTTCATAATTTTGATACCGGAAAAAAAAGTATCCCATATATAAAACTGCTCAACCCGAGCTAGGAATGCATTAACTTTGTGTTCTTTGCCTTTTTGCGTTCTCTGGTCTCACGTTGGTCAGACAAGGCCATATAAAAGGCTGTCCCTGGTGTAGGCCAATCAGTTTCAAAGACAATGCGTATACTATCAGAACACATGTTTGTTTGCACGTCTTAGCACAAGCATGTGTGGTTCATGCAGACTTGATGCCTCGCAATCGGTGTCTGTTTGATGTTTGAACATCTTAACACCTCCTGTGTTATTGCAAGAAGCGGTTAGTAGAGCCAATTTTTTTCCCATAAAATATAGGTCCTGTTTTTTGGACAAAGTTCGCCATGAGGACTGACCCTTCAACGAATTAAAAATATATAATATAAGCGAGAGGCGTGGGCAATGCAACAAGATGCTTATTTGGGCACAAGAGGATCTGAACTATTGTTCAGCAGTGCTGGCAGAGGAAGCAGGGTGGGCAGGAAGGTGAAGGAAGGAGAAGGGTGTGGTGTGAAACTTACAATCATATCCTTTGCCAGGGCACAGCCTGAATAAGCGTTGTTAATTTAGTCAAGCAAGGGACCTTAAAACATTACAGTGGATTTTTCCTTGACCCTGCAA